GAGAGAGAGAGCGAGAGCGAGCTCAGAGATTTCTGAATGTGGATGCATGTATCAGCTCTGTAATATAAAGCTTGTCTGAACACAGAGATGCATTTAGTACTGTGTACTAAGTACATAGAGATGTACTTAGGCAAAATGTCTAAAGTAGTGTGGTAAGTCACTATCATAGGTGTGCTGTTACCTCCCGGAGATTCTAAGTGTCTGTGGGAACTTTGCTTCCCTTAGCTGTGGATTTGATTTAACATATCATTTAATATCTGCATACAAACCTATTCTGAACAGTTGTTCATGGTGTACATAACATTTTTAAGGGCTTGCTGAGGTAAGGTATTTTTAGGACTCCTAGATTGTACCTGTCACCTGCAGGAGCTTTGGGACTTCTGAGTCTGGGGGGAGTATACATTTGATTAGAAAGGGTGGGGTGTTCATTTATTGCACTTTGGTTATTTTATTAGCTCAGGATTTCTGATAGAGAAATGTGCTGTTTTCAGGAAAGTACATTTCTGACATTAGTGAAATTCTAATGGAAGTTTAAAGAACAGGCTAGGCAGACCCAGGAAGGAGAACATTCCTGACATTAGAGAGATAGTAACTGAGTTTAAAGAACAGGCTAGGCAGACCACAGTACTGAGGCTTTTTCCTTATCCATGTGTATTCTGTGTGAATGTGTATGTCTATCTGTGCCTGAGTGCAGATGCCTTCAAAGGCTAGATGCCCCCAAGCTGGAGCTACAGAAAGTTGTGGGTTGCCCAACATGGTTGCTGGGAACCAAACTCGGGTTTTTACAGGAGCAGTATGAACCATCTCACCAGTCCCTAAGATAAGATACGATTTTTTGAAGTAGCCAGCAATGGTTATTTAACATAGTATATCATTTATGGAATTGAATTTTCCCTATAGAAAGCAGGTCCTACTTAAACTAATTTATTTATGGTATCACTTTGAAGATTTAAAAAAAAATCTGGTTCCACAGGTGGTAGACACAGCTCAGTGGTAAAAGTACTTGCCTAGTATGTACAAGGGCCTGGATTCAGTCCCTAGCACTGCCAAAAATAATCTGGCTTTGCACAATGTATTCATAAGTGTATATTATTAGCATACATTTGGTATTTTTGAGCAATATTTTTGAGCAATTTCTGACGACTTAATAGTAGAAAGTCCAAAAAAGATTGTAGTCTGTGACCAAGAAACTTGTGCTCAGAGTCAGGAGACATGGCTTAGTCATAAAGAGCACTCTTACAGAAGACTCAAGTTTAGTGTTCAGAACCAAAGTCAACTTCAGGAAACCCAAAATCTCTGGTCTCCAAGGGCACCAGCTCTCAATGTGAATACACACACACAAACACACACACACACACACACACCAGTTTAAAATAATAAAAATAAATCTTATCAGAGATACTTAAGATATGAAGGGGTCCTGCAAAAATTCTGTGGCCAGTACATACAGCTCAATAAAATGGTTGGGAGCAGGGCATGGTGGTGAGGAGGGTGACTGCTGAGGCCAGCAGGGGTCAGTAGACAGTCATGGAGGGAACGATTCCCTAAGAAGAGACACAGGGTGTGTTTGTCTAGGTCCTGAAGATGAGTAATCTGCTGAGAGGGTAACTGACTGACACAGGTCAGGGGAAGTCTTTATGTTCCTTACAGGATGACCACCTTTCTAGGTTAAGAGGTTAGTAGGATTTCTTCAAGGTTATGTAGCAAGTGACTTTCCAGTGGCCCAGATAGCAGTGTTCCATATGCACTTTATGTTAAATACTTTAAAGTTTGAAAGTAATACAGAAGATTTGCTTTGTAGGAATCTGAGAACCGGCAAATAATGGAACAACTCCGAAAAGCCAACGAAGATGCTGAAAACTGGGAAAATAAGGCCCGCCAACTAGAGGCAGAAAACAATACACTCAAACTGGAACTTATCACCGCTGAAGCAGAGGGCAACAGATTAAAGGAAAAAGTTGATGCCCTTAACAGAGAGGTTGAACAAGTAAGTTTGTAGAAATGGGCTTACAGTGTCTCACATGTCATATTAAGTGAGCTTGGCTTGTCTCAACATACTGACAAACAGTTGAATTATATAAATGCACTGTAGACAAACAGTTGAATTATATAAATGCACTGTAAGTTATAGCCTCTTAATTATTCTTTTATTCACCTTGGTTCTCAGGTGCCCACAACCAGAATAACTATCAGCTTTTTTTTCTTAGTTGGGAACTGTTAAAAACAAAAAAGAACAATAAAACAGATCTATTCCTACTCTGTAGATGTAAGAACATTAGCATGCTGCCACATTTGTTTCATGTATCTTTGTTTAAGGAAACGTATCATTAGAGTTAGGAGCAGTGTGGCTCAGTGATTAAGAGCTCTTGCTGATCTTCCAGAGGACCTGAGTTGCATTCCCAGGAGCCACATGGGGCACACACACACACACACAAACACACAAAAAAATAAAAATATGATAAATTAAAAGAAACCAAACATTAAACCTATAGCTTCTCACACAAATATTGGGTATATGTAATTTTACTTTATTCTAGTTGCTTCTCATGAGCTCACACTCTCTGTGCATCTCTCTCCTACCAGGGACATATAATGTTTTCTGTTTTTAAAGTCAGGTTTGTGTGTGTGTGTGTGTGTGTGTATGTGTTACCTGCCAGTGTAGTGGCATATGTGTGTGGATGCTGAGATTGGCAACTGGCATCTTCCTCAGTCATTTCCTACCTTACTCGTTTTCTGAGACAGGGTCTCTCAGTGAACCTGAAGACAGACAATTCAGCTAGCCTGGCTGTTCCGAAGGCCCCAGGACCCTCCTCTCTGCTCACCAGTGCTGGGGTTGCAGGTGTGCCCTACCATGTCTGGATTTGTTGTTTTTTTTTTAAAACATAGTTTCTGAGAGGTCAAATTCAGGTCCCCATGTTTGCATTGCAAACATTTTACTGACTGAGCTATCTTCCTAGACCTACTCTTCCCCCAATCCCTACCATGTGTGTGTGTGTGTTTTAAGATTTTTTAAATTTTATGTATATGAGTACACTGTTGCTGTCTTCAGACACACCAGAAGAGGGTGTCAGATCCCATTACAGATGGTTGTGAGTCACCATGTGGTTGCTTGGAATTGAACTCAGGGCCTCTGGAAGAGCAGCCAGTGCTCTTAACTGCTGAGCCATCTCTCCAGCCTTATTTTTATTTTAGTTGTATGTATGTTTATCAAATTGTTTTCTAAAAGTTTACTCTTGACAGAAACCATGGGTTATAATTTGCTTAAATACTATATTCAGTATTATGATCCTTAATTTTTCCACAGTTGTGTTTTATGTTTCCTAGATTACAAGTGAAACTGAATGTCTTTTAATACTACTTTTTAAAACTATAACTGATTTTTTTTTTTACCAAAACAATGTGTCTTCTAACCCCATGAAAATTACACAAACTCTCAGAAGCAACTGTGCATCAGAAATTAATTTGAAAGTTTTCCTTTCATACATTGTTAGCAAAGTACTTTTTAGGATAAGCGTCCTCTGTGCTAAAAAGACTGTGTTCTAAGAATACCTTTGATGGACATGTATGACCTCTTTAAGGAACTACCTCCACATATGGCTAAGATATTTGAGGCTTTCCCTTCAGCAAGAGCAAAACCAGGACTAAAAGCCCAATAGCGGGAAGCTGGGAGTCCTTGGCAGAAGGCTGACACTTGCCTGATTCACATTTTGTCAACAGCAGGTGGCACATGTCTGATGAAGACACAAGTTACAGGGTTCAGTGTTTATTGACCACTTAAGGTTCCTTTTGCGGCTGTTGGCAATTAATGCTACTTTAAATCTTCCTGGCGATGATGGTGGTGATGATGGTGGTGGTGGTGGCTTGAGTTCCTTGTTGCCGCCCCAATGCTCTGGATTCCCAAATGAACACACACACACACACACACACACACACACACACACAGCTCAATGGTTGAGCCACTCTCAAACTTCCATGTTGCTAATGTCTCCCTTCTGATACTCTGATACCTGAGTTATTACTTACTAAAATTTATATACTATCTTTGTTACCCTAGACCCAAGTAGTGGGAGCCTGGGGCTGCTTTTCCATGGCTCTTGTATGGTTAATATTCTCTCTCTCTCTCTCTCTCTCTCTCTCTCTCTCTCTCTCTCTCTCTGTCTCTGTCTCTGTCTCTGTCTCTTTCTCTCTTTTCTCTCTCTCTCCCCCTTCCCCCCTCCTTCTGTAGCTCTCAGGCCCGGATCTTATTCCTTTCCTGGCATGGCAAATCTCCTTTCTACCCTTGGTCCCCTTGCCCACGAATCCTAAAGTCCCACCTCTATTTTCTTGCCCTGCCATTGGCTGCTGGCAACTTTATGTACCAGTCAGAACCAACTAGGGGCAGGGACCCTCAGCATCTTACAAACTGACTCTTGTAAAATTTTGGGAATCCAAATAACACAATACAAGCATTAGACCAAATCCACAACACCTCTTAGTTGGGTTTTCTCTTAAATTTCTTTTCAATAAATTAAAATTTTTTAAAAAAATTTTTGTATGCATGAGTGTTTGCCTGGATGTATGTGTACATGAGGCCCATGGAGGACAGAAGAGGGCATCATATTCTCTGGAACAAATTACAGATGATTGTGTACAGCCATGTAGATGCTAGGATCCAAACCCTGGTCCTCTGCAAGAGCAGTAAGTGCTCTCAGCCATTGTGCAGACTCTCCAGCTCTTGGAATGATTCTTTTCTTACATGTGTATACATTTTTTTTATTCAGTTGTTTGTTTGTTTGGTTGGTTGGTTTTTCAAGACAGAGTTTTGTTTGTTTGTTTGTTTTAATGTAGCCTTGGCTGTCCTGGAACTCGCTCTGTAGACCAGGGTGACCTCTAACTCACAGAGATCTGCCTGCCTCTGCCTCTCAAGTGCTGGGATTAAAGGCATTGCTACCACCTCCAGCTGTATACTTTTCATATTAAGTGGCAGGAGTTCGCTATAATATTCTTGATCACAGCCTTTTTAAAGATTTAACTGTTAATTTGTCTTTTATTTGCAAGATAAAGAAATGTTAAATGCAGATGTACTTAGAATTATTATGAATCTTTTCTCATTTGATTTACGATTTTGTTTTCTTTAAGTGATTCTTTAGTGTTCTATGACCTGGAAGATATGTTTTTATTTTTTTATTTAAACTTATATAGAGGGTGAGACAGATAGGAGAAAGGAAGGATAGAGAAAAAGTTGGTAATTGTTACCAAAGTGTACTCAGGGGAGCGGAAATGCTCATAATATCCTCAGTATTCTAGTTAGTACAGCAGTGAATGACTGCTGTTCGACATCAGAAATTGATATAAAAGGAGATACAACTGTTGATACCCTGGTTTGTTCATTGCATACTGGTGTATTTCACCAGTATGATGTCAATTTAAAGACAAAAGACATTATCCTTAAAATGTATGTAAGTGGTAAGTGTATTTTTATCATCCCCCTCCCCTCTGAGGTTTGAGGGAGGGGAGTGATCTATGCATCCCGTCTGTGGTTGAGCATTCCCAGCAGGAAGTGATATATGTATCCGTCTATGGATGAACATTCCCGACAAGGAGTGATGTATGTATCCCGTCTGTGGTTCAGCATTCCCAACACTTAATTTCTGCACTTTGATCAAGTGAAGTTTCTACTTTACCACCAAAGACAAAAGACACTTACTGCTCTAATGAGGACCAAAAGTATAGCAGGCTCACCCATAGGACCTGTGGCCTCTCTAGCCACAGATTCTTGCCCAGATTTTCAGTATGAGGTGTGAATTTCCGCATGTGGGGTAGACCATAAATTTGATGAAAATACTTGGCTATCACCAAACATTCCTTCCACTCTGCATCCATGGGTGTATCTTGCCACACCAGTTGTTATTATAGCTCACAGGGCCAATACTATTATTAAGTAATAATCCTGGGTAAGACTGTCAATGACTCTCCACCCCCAGCAGCCTGCACAGCAACTTCCAGTAATATGGTTGCTTCCAGGTCAGCTCCAGCTTGATTTCTTCACGTTTGGTGACCAAAGTATGTGGTGACTTCAGTTACAGAGTATTACTGTCCTTTCCTCCCCTTTGAGGTAGGATGTCAGTGTATAGCCCAGGCTGATCTTGAACTCATGATATGTCTGCTTATGTCTCCCAGATTATAGGCACGTACCACCACACCAGGCTTACACATTTTCAAGTTACTGCTTTTTTAATGCCTTTTATTGAAAGTTATTCCTGTCATACAGTTTTCCTATTTAAAGTATATTCACTGGTCTTTGGAAAATTGAGTGTTATGACCCTGTAAAAATGAGTACTTTTGAACATTTTCATCACCCTAAAACAAACAAAAAAAATGTGCCCATTAGCTGTCACAACCAGCTACTCCACTTTCTGTCATGTCTTTGATCCATGTTGGGTTAAATTTTGTACATGGTATTAATTATAATTTTATACCCCTAAGATAAATCCTACTTGATCATTATGTATAATTATTATTCTCTTTTTTTGGTGCTAGATTTGGTTTTCTAGTAATTTTTGTTGAAGTTTTTTTTTTTATAACAACCTATATGTTTGTTATAAGATCCAAGTGGTAGTTGTAGGATCCATGTGACACCAATTTCTTATAATAAATTGGAAATGTTCCTTTTGCTTCTAGTTTTTGTAAGAGCTTGTATATGTTTGCTGCCAGTTTTTAAAAGGTTTGGTAGAATTGAGTCTAAAGCCATCTGAACCTGTTCTTTCTGGAAAGTTTTTAAATTACTAGTCAGACTCTTTGTTACAAGCCTATTCTATTTTTCTTTTATTCATTTAATACATTTAGTAATTTGTCAATTTCATTGAATTAATTTAATTACTCAGTATATCCTTATAATTATTTTATTTAATAAATCACACTTGCTTGGTTTCATCAAATGGAGAATATCTTTTGCCATTATTTACTCAAGTAGTTTTCTCCCTTGCCTTTTCTCTAAGATCTGGAATT